TCCACATCACAAAGTGCAACAGTAACACCTCCACATTACCCACAGTGCAACAGTAACACCGCCACATTACCCACAGTGCAACAGTGACACCTCCACATCACACACAGTGCCACAGTAACACCTCCACATTACCCACAGTGCAACAGTGACACCTCCACATTACCCACAGTGCAACAGTGACACCTCCACATCACCCACAGTGCAACAGTAACACCTCCACACCTCCACATCACCCACAGTGCAACAGTGACACCTCCACATCACCCACAGTGCAACAGTAACACCTCCACATTACCCACAGTGCAACAGTAACGCCTCCACATCACCCACAGTGCAACAGTAACACCTCCACATTACCCACAGTGCAACAGTGACACCTCCACATCACCCGCAGTGCAACAGTAACACCTCCACATCACCCACAGTGCAACAGTGACACCTCCACATTACCCACAGTGCAACAGTAACACCTCCACATCACCCGCAGTGCAACAGTGACGCCACCACATTACCACAGTGCAACAGTAACACCTCCACATCACCCACAGTGCAACAGTGACACCACCACATTACCCACAGTGCAACAGTAACACCTCCACATCACGCACAGTGCAACAGTGACGCCGCCACATTACCCACAGTGCAACAGTAACACCTCCACATCACCCACAGTGCAACAGTGACACCACCACATTACCCACAGTGCAACAGTAACACCTCCACATTACCCACAGTGCAACAGTAACACCTCCACATCACCCACAGTGCAACAGTAACACCTCCACATTACCCACAGTGCAACAGTGACACCTCCACATCACCCACAGTGCAACAGTGACACCGCCACATCACCCACAATGCAACAGTGACACCTCCACATCACGCACAGTGCAACAGTAACACCGCCACATTACCCACAGTGCAACTGTAACGCCCCCACATTCCCCTTTCCCAGTCATTCCAACGTACCGCAGATTGCCAAGTTCCCTGAAAAGGTGAATTATTAAAGTTTTTTTTTTTAAATTAAATCATTGTTCAATCCTTTTATATTCACATTCACCATTATTATCACTTTAGTTTGTATTGTGAAAAAGAGGTTAGCAGTAGATTTGACAAATCCCAAATGTTTTGCATTAAATTAATGGTCAAAGCTGCTCCCGTTTATGCAAATTTCGTTCTCAGCGTCGCTTGAACGCACCCTTTTCGTAAATCAAGGAATGGCTGTACAAGTACGGATGTATGTATGTACAGGAATATGGAACTTCTTTCAAACCGTATGTAGCCACCCGCGCTTAATGTGAGGTATGCTGGCGGGAAGGACAAACTAAAGCCCCCAAAACAAAATCAATTCTACTTAAGAAATGGGTTTTAAAATCGAGATGATTTAAAAGTGCATAGCTCCAAGTGGCGTCCGAATTTGAAGACGATTTTTCAACACCAAGTGCAACCTCAGCCAAGGCAGTAAAGCTACAAGTCACGGCTGGTCACGTGACGTTTTACCAGGTAAGGGCCCCACTGAGCTATGTAGATCGTTTTCAGGAGCGACCTGGCCATCGGGGAAATTGAAAGCAGCCAAAATACTCTGAACGTGTGACGTCGACTCTAAAGGTGGAGGCAATGATCGGAGAAGCATCCACACGCCCACGGGGGAAAGAGACACGCAAACTTCAAATATCCAGCAGGCATCGTCGGGGTTCGGGATTGAAGTCACGAACCTCCTGGTTACCAAACGAGATGGTTAACATCTCCAAAGCCACCGTGATTATGAGAGAGACACGCAAACTCCAAATACAGCAGGCGTTGTTGTCAGGGTCGGGATTGAATCCACGACCTCCTGTATGCCAGGCGATGGAGTTAACATCTCCAAAGCCACCGCGGACTTCCCGAGTGGCTTCAACCCTCGACGAGTGAGGAGCAGCCAACAACAGAAGCAGGCCACGTGGCACCCTTACGCATTCATTATTTATTCAGTTGTCTGTTCCCCACAGGTCACCGTTAATCTGCCCACGGGTAATAGGAGTGGGGTTAACTTCGATCTGGGTATTGGTTTTAGCAAATTCGTACGTGGGGGGGGGGGGGGGGGGACAAAGGCGGCCGGGCCGGCTCAGTGCTGGTCTCACCACCCCCTCGTGTGCCACCGTCCCGGCCTTCATCGGTGCTAACTCGCTCAAAGCACTTGCCCCAACAGTCTGTTAAGGCTATACGGGGGCTCTTTGTCTTTTGACACACACAGACACGCTCACGGCCATGTGTTTGCGTGAGGTGTGTGGCGAGCGGTAGTGGAGAGGTTAGCGCTACGCTGCGCTATGAACAACACAAACAGAGTTCGATTGCCACTCACGGCCAACGCCAGTGACGATTATGTGAACAGGTCCTGGGCCTCCCCTAGGTCGACTCAGCCTCAAACGAGTACCTGGTGCGGTGTGTAGTGAACATCGCCACTGGAGAGACAGATATTTGTGTATGTGTATGTATAGCGAGGTGTGTGCATGGTGAGATGTGTGTGGAGCGGTGTGTGTGGGGGGGAGGTGTGTTTGTGTGTATGGTGAGGTGTGTGTATGGTGAGGTGTGTGTGTGTGTGGTGAGGTGTGTGTGTGTGTGGTGAGGTGTGTGTGTGTGTGTGTGGGGGAGGGAGGGAGGTGTGTGTGTGTATGGGAAGGTGTGTGTGTGTCAGTCAACCCGTGGCACCTGGGTCTGCCCCGTGACCTCCTGCCAGCGGGTGTTCGACACTTCACGTGGCCTCAGGGTGCACATAGCCTGGCACAAGCGTCGTGGTGACGTCACCGCCATTTAGTGGCGAATGGCGGTTGTTGTGTATGTGTGTATGTGTGTGTGTGTAGGTGTGTGTGGGTGTGTGTGTGTGTATGTGTGTGTATGTGTGTGTATGTGTGTGTATGTATGTGTGTGTATGTATGTGTGTAGGTGTGTGTATGTGTATGTATGTGTGTAGGTGTGTGTATGTATGTGTGCGTGTATGTGTGTGTATGTGTATGTGTGTGTATGTGTGTGTGTGTAGGTGTGTGTGTGGGTGTGTGTAGGTGTGTGGGTGTGTGTGGGTGTCTTGTAAATATCCATTGACGAACATCGACCCCAATCAACGTTTAAGCTCGGGAATCAATTATTTATATTTCTGTGCAAATGAGATCGGAATGTTCAGTGTGTTCGTGGGGAACAAACACTCCACACACGGGGAGACAATTAAACCGCTGGGTGGGTGGAGGTGGGCGGTGGTGGGCGGAGGTGGGCGGTGGAGAGCGGAGGTGGGCGGTGGAGGGCGGAGGTGGGTGGAGGTGGGCGGTGGTGGGCGGTGGAGGGCGGAGGTGGGCGGTGGAGGGCGGAGGTGGGTGGAGGTGGGCAGTGGTGGGCGGTGGTGGGCGGTGGAGGGCGGAGGTGGGCGGTGATGGGCGGAGGTGGGTGGAGGTGGGCGGAGGTGGGTGGTGGTGGGCGGTGGTGGACGGAGGTGGATGGTGGTGGTGGTGGTGGTGGGCGGAGGTGGTGGAGGTGGGTGGTGGTGGGCGGTGGTGGTGGGCAGTGGTGGGCGGACGTGGGAGGTGGTGGAGGTGGGTGGTGGTGGGCGGTGGTGGGTGGAGGTGGGTGGAGGTGGGCGGAGGTGGATGGTAGTGGGCGGAGGTGGGTGGTGGTGGGTGGGTGGAGGTGGGCGGAGGTGGGCGGAGGTGGGCGGAGGTGGGCGGTGGTGGGTGGAGGTGGTGGGCGGTGGTGGGTGGAGGTGGATGGTGGTGGGTGGAGGTGGTGGTGGGCGGAGGGATCAAGCGTTGCCCCCTCGTGCAAGGCGTGCGTTTCCTCCCACGTTTAATTGGCCGATAGCTCCTCCACCGTGCAGCGCGAGCACGGTGGCCTCACGTCCCCAATGTCGATCGAACAAAACTATTTAATTCTCTGCGCCGGGATTCGACAACATTCAGTGAGGAACCAATTTTTATTTTTATTTTACAGAATTTATTTTGCGTGCAGCCATTGGTGAGTGGGCTGAGACCATCAACTCGCGACAGTTTCATCACAGCTCAGTCTACGTGAGTCGATGGGTCTCTGCGTGAGTCGATGGATCTCTGTGTGAGTCTATGGGTCACTGTGTTAATCTATGGGTCTCTGTGTGAGAGTCTATGGGTCACTGTGTTAATCTATGGGTCTCTGTGTGTCTATAGGTCTCTGTGTGTGTCTATGGGTCTCTGTGTTAATCTATGGGTCTCTACGTGAGTCGATGGGTCTCGACGTGAGTCGATGGGTCTCTACGTGAGTCGATGGGTCTCTGTGTGAGTCTATGAGTCTCTGTGTGTGTCTATGGGTCTCTGTGTGAGAGTCTATGGGTCACTGTGTTAATCTATGGGTCTCTGTGTGTGTCTATGGGTCTCTGTGTGTGTCTATGGGTCTCTGTGTTAATCTATGGGTCTCTACGTGAGTCAATGGGTCTCTACGTGAGTCTATGGGTCACTGTGTTAATCTATGGGTCTCTATGTGAGTCTGTGTCTCCGTGTGAGTCTATGTGTCTCTGTGTGAGTCGACGGATCTCTGCCTGAGTCTACGGGTCTCTGTGTGAGTCTACCGGTCTCTGTGTGAGTCTACGGGTCTCTGTGTGTTTCTATGTCTCTGTGCGAGTCTACCGGTCTCTGTGAGTCTACGGGTCTCTCTGTGAGTCTACAGGTCTCTCTGTGAGTCTACCAGTCTCTGTGTGAGTCTACGGGTCTCTCTGTGAGTCTACGGGTCTCTATGTGAGTCTACGGGTCTCTGTGTGAGTCTGTGGGTCTCTCTGTGAGTCTACGGGTCTCTGTGTGAGTCTACGGATCTCTCTGTGAGTCTACCGGGCTCTGTGTGAGTCTACCGTACTCTCTGTGAGTCTGTGGGTCTCTATGTGAGTCTACGGGTCTCTGTGTGAGTCTACGGGTCTCTATGTGAGTCTACGGGTCTCTATGTGAGTCTACGGGTCTCTGTGAGTCTACGGGTCTCTCTGTGAGTCTGTGGGTCTCTCTGTGAGTCTACCGGGCTCTGTGTGAGTCTACCGGTCTCTCTGTGAGTCTGTGGATCTCTATGTGAGTCTACGGGTCTCTGTGTGAGTCCACGGGTCTCTCTGTGAGTCTACAGGTCTCTGCGCGAGTCATTGGCGACCGGACTGAGAGACCATCAACCTCAATGCGCTTGAGAACCCGGCTTTAATCGTAGACAGCTGACCCCGGATTCGAATTGGCGTTCTCTGGAGATTGCTGGCTCAGCCTGTTGACCTCTGCACTGCTGAGGCTCCCTCCCCTGGTGGAGATGTTCATCCGCAGACGCTCAGGACCTCTGTATCATCACCTGAAATTTACCTGCGATACGCACGCACGCACACATCACAAGGAAGATAGAATCAATGATGAATGATTGTCTCTCTGTCTCTCTCTCTCTCTCCGAGGACGACTCCGAGAGAGAGAGAGAGAGGACGACTCAGAGAGAGAGGACGACTCAGAGGGAGAGGACGACTCAGAGAGAGAGTGAGGATGACTGAGAGAGAGAGAGGACGACTCAGAGAGAGAGAGAGGACGACTCAGAGGGAGAGAGAGAGGGCGACTCAGAGAGTGGGGACGACTCAGAGAGAGAGAGAGAAAGTACGACTGAGAGAGAGGACGACTCAGAGAGAGGACAACTCAGAGAGAGAGGACGACTGAGAGAGAGAGGACGACTCAAAGAGAGAGAGAGGACGACTCAGAGAGAGAGAGGACGACTCAGAGAGAGAGAGAGGATGACTCAGAGAGAGAGAGGATGACTCAGAGAGAGAGAGGACGACTCAAAGAGAGAGAGGGGACGACTCAGAGAGAGAGGACGACTCAGAGAGAGAGAGAGGACGACTGAGAGAAAGAGAGGACGACTCAGAGAGAGGGAGGGAGGGCGACTCAGAGAGAGAGGGCGACTCAGAGAGAGAGGGCGACTCAGAGAGAGAGGGCGACTCAGAGAGAGAGAGGGCGACTCAGAGAGAGAGGACGACTCAGAGAGAGGGGGACTCAGAGAGAGAGAGAGAGGACAACTCACAAAGAGAGAGGGGGTGACTCAGAGAGAGAGAGAGGACGACTCAGAGAGAGGGAGGGAGGGCGATTCAGAGAGAGAGAGGGCGACTCAGAGAGAGAGGGCGACTCAGAGAGATAGAGGGCGACTCAGAAAGAGAGAGAAGATGACTCAGAGAGAGGGGGACTCAGAGAGAGAGAGAGAGAGGACGACTCACAAAGAGAGAGGGGGTGACTCAGAGAGAGAGGACGACTCAGAGAGAGAGAGAGAGGACGACTCAGAGAGAGAGAGAAGACGACTCAGAGAGAGGACGACTCAGAGAGAGGACGACTCACAAAGAGAGAGGGGGTGACTCAGAGAGAGAGAGGACGACTCAGAGAGAGGGCGACTCAGAGAGAGAGAGAGGACGACTCACAAAGAGAGAGGGGGTGACTCAGAAAGAGAGAGAGAGGGCGACTCAGAGAGAGAGAGAGGGGGTGACTCAGAAAGAGAGAGAGAGGGCGACTCAGAGAGAGAGCACGACTCAGGAAGATAGAGGGAGACTCAGAGAGAGAGAAGACGACTCAGAGAGAGGACGACTCAGAGAGAGAGAGAGGACGACTCACAAAGAGAGAGGGGGTGACTCAGAGAGAGAGAGAGAGAGGACGACTCAGAGAGAGGACGACTCAGAGAGAGGGCGACTCAGAGAGAGAGAGGACGACTCAGAGAGAGGGCGACTCAGAGAGAGAGAGAGGACGACTCAGAGAGAGAGAGAGAGAGGACGACTCAGAGGCACCAAGAGGAGGAACCACCGATGAGGAGTGCCGAGGCAGCAGCAGCAGCGGCAGCAATGCCCACCGCCAAACTGCCCCGGGCCATCATCCCCCGCAAGCTCTGCGATCCTCTCCGTATGAAGCTGTTGCCCAGTGAACGAGTGTCTACAATCACTTCCCAAACTCAAGACGAAGGCTACGGAGGCAGTGGACAGATCCTGCCTGGACGTGTGTGGGCGTGTGTGGACGTGGGAGCGGTGGTGTAGTAGCGGTTAGCGCTACGCTGCGCTACGAACCAGGCGACCCCAGTTCGATTCCTGCTCACGGCCAACACCAGTGACGGTTACCAGAACCGGTCCTGGGCCTCACCTAGTTCGACTCAGCCTCAAATGAGTACATGGTGCGGTGCGTAAACATCGTCACTGGGGAGACAAAGGCGGCCGGGCGTGGTGCTGGCCACCCACCCCCTCGCGTGCCGTGCCGGCCTTCGTAGGTGTTATCTAACAGCACTTGCCCCTACATTCTGTCAAGGCTACACGGGGGATCTTTGTCTTTGTGGGAGCGGTAGTGTCGTGGTTAGCGCTACGCTGCGCTACGAACCAGGCGACCCCAGTTCGATTCCCGCTCACGGCCAGCAACACCGGTTACCAATCATCTGAACCGGGTCCTAGACCTCCCCTAGGTCGACTCGGCCTCAAATGAAAAACCCAGCTGCGATGTGTAAACATCGTCACTATAGCGAGACAAAGGCGGCCGGGCTTGGTGCTGACCACCCCCCCCCCCACTCCTCCACCTCCTGTTGCCATGCCGACCTTCACAGGGGCCCACTCGCTAACGGCACTTGCCCCCAAGTCTGTCACAGGCTACACGGTGTGGGTGTGGGGGGAGCTTTGTCTTTGTGAGGGCCACTCACAGGCCGGCATGACCGACACCTCTGCCGTCACGACGCTGTTGATGCCCAGGTTGGAGAGGCCTCCTCTCACCAGGCCGCACGTGAAGGCCAGGAACTGCACGCACGCACAGACAAAGATCCCCCGTGTAGCCCACACGGACCGCTGGAGGCAAGTGCTGCTGCTGCTGCTGCTGTCGACGTCATTGTCGGCCTGTAACTTGCCACTGCTGGGCAGAGGCATCCCACATTGTCCCCCGTTCCTTCCTTTGTTGGGTAACCCTGACCCTGAGTGACCCTGAATGACCCTGAACTGGAGTGACCTTGACCTTGGGTCTCTGTGCGAGTCGAAGGCTCTCTGTGTGAGTCTATGGGTCTCTGTGCGAGTCTATGGGATCTCTGTGCGAGTCTATGGGTCTCTGTGCGAGTCTATGGGTCTCTGTGCGAGTCTATGGGTCTCTGTGTGAGTCTGTGGGTCGCTGTGTGAGTCTGTGGGTCTCTGTGTGACTCTATCGGTCTCTTTGTAAGTCTATGGGTCTCTGTCTGAGTCTGTGGGTCTCTGTGTGAGTCTGTGGGTCTCTGTGCGAGTCTATGGATCTCTGTGTGAGTCTGGGTCTCTGTGTTAGTCTATGGGTCTCAGTCTGAGTCTGTGGGTCTGTGTGAGTCTGGGTCTCTGTGTGAGTCTGTGGGTCTCTGTGTGAGTCTATGGGTCTCTGTGTGAGTCTATGGGTCTCTGTGTGAGTCTCTGTGTGAGTCTATGGGTCTCTGTGTGAGTCTGGGTCTCTGTGTGAGTCTGTGGGGCTCTGTGTGAGTCTATGGGTCTCCGTGTGAGTCTATGGATCTCTGTGTGAGTCTGTGGGTCTCTGTGTGAGTCTATGGGTCTCTGTGTGAGTCTATGGGTCTCTGTGTGAGTCTATGGGTCTCTGTGCGAGTCTATGGGTCTCTGTGTGAGTCTATGGGTCTCTGTGTGAGTCTGTGGGTCTCTGTGTGAGTCTATGGGTCTCTGCGTGAGTCTATGGGTCTCTGTGTGAGTCTGGGTCTCTGTGTGAGTCTATGAGTCTCTGTGTGAGTCTATGGATCTCTGTGTGAGTCTGTGGGTCTTTGTGTGAGTCTATGGGTCTCTGTGTGAGTCTATGGGTCTCTGTGTGAGTCTGGGTCTCTGTGTGAGTCTTTGAGTCTCTGTGTGAGTCTATGGGTCTCTGTGTAAGTCTATGGGTCTCTGTGTGAGTCTGGGTCTCTGTGTGAGTCTATGGGTCTCTGTGTGTGTTTATGGGTCTCTGTGTGAGTCTATGGGTCTCTGTGTGAGTCTATGTGTCTCTGTGTGGGTCTATGGGTCTCTGTGTGAGTCTATGGGTCTCTGTGTGGGTCTATGGGTCTCTGTGTGAGTCTATGGGTCTCTGTGTGAGTCTATGTGTCTCTGTGTGAGTCTATGGGTCTCTGTGTGAGTCTATGGGTCTCTGTGTGAGTCTATGGGTCTCTGTGTGAGTCTATGGGTCTCTGTGTGAGTCTATGGGTCTCTGTGTGAGTCTATGGGTCTCTGTGAGTCTATGGGTCTCTGTGTGAGTCTGTGGCTCTCTGTGTGAGTCTGTGGGTCTCTGTGTAAGTCTATGGGTCTCTGTGTGAGTCTATGGGTCTCTGTGTGAGTCTATGGGTCTCTGTGTGAGTCTATGGGTCTCTGTGTGAGTCTATGGGTCTCTGTGTGAGTCTATGGGTCTCTGTGTGAGTCTGGGTCTCTGTGTGAGTCTATGGGTCTCTGTGTAAGTCTATGGGTCTCTGTGTGAGTCTGGGTCTCTGTGTGTGTCTATGGGTCTCTGTGTGAGTCTATGGGTCTCTGTGTGAGTCTATGGGTCTCTGTGTGAGTCTGGGTCGCTGTGTGTGTCTATGGGTCTCTGTGTGAGTCTATGGGTCTCTGTGTGAGTCTATGGGTCTCTGTGTGAGTCTATGGGTCTCTGTGTAAGTCTATGGGTCTCTGTGTGAGTCTGGGTCTCTGTGTGTGTCTATGGGTCTCTATGTGAGTCTATGGGTCTCTGTGTGAGTCTATGGGTCTCTGTGTGAGTCTATGGGTCTCTGTGTGAGTCTATGGGTCTCTGTGTGAGTCTATGGGTCTCTGTGTGAGTCTATGGGTCTCTGTGTGAGTCTATGGGTCTCTGTGTGAGTCTATGGGTCTCTGTGTGAGTCTATGGGTCTCTGTGTGAGTCTATGGGTCTCTGTGTGAGTCTGGGTCTCTGTGCATAGTTTGTCTGTTCCCTCCCTCTCATCTACGTGGCTTTTTCTCCGGGTTCTCCGGCTTTCCCGCATAGCATTTTTTTTTTAAAACCCGTACAGCGTTACCGTACAGCGCTACACTACAGCGTTACACTACAGCGTTACACTACAGCGTTACCGTGCAGCGTTACACTACAGCGTTACACTACAGCGTTACCGTACAGCGTTACACTACAGCGTTACACTACAGCGTTACACTACAGCGTTACACTACAGCGTTACCGTACAGCGTTACACTACAGCGTTACACTACAGCGTTACCGTACAGCGTTACACTACAGCGTTACACTACAGCGTTACCGTACAGCGTAACACTACAGCGTTACACTACAGCGTTACCGTACAGCGTTTCACTACAGCGTTACACTACAGCGTTACCGTACAGCGTTACACTACAGCGTTACACTACAGCGTTACACTACAGCGTTACCGTACAGCGTTACACTACAGCGTTACCGTACAGCGTTACACTACAGCGTTACACTACAGCGTTACCGTACAGCGTTACACTACAGCGTCACCGTACAGCGTTACACTACAGCGTTACACTACAGCGTTACCGTACAGCGTTACCGTACAGCGTTTCTCTACAGCGTTACACTACAGCGTTACAGTACAGCGTTACCGTACAACGTTACACTATAGCGTTACCGTATAGCGTTACCGTATAGCGTTACACTACAGCGTTACACTACAGCGTTACACTACAGCGTTACACTACAACGTTACACTACAGCGTTACACTACAGCGTTACACAACAGCGTTACCGTATAGCGTTACACTACAGCATTACACTACAACGTTACACTACAACGTTACCCTACAGCGTTACACTACAGCGTTACACTACAGCGTTACACTACAGCGTTACCGTACAGCGTTACACTACAGCGTTACACTACAGCGTTACACAACAGCGTTACCGTACAGCGTTACACTACAGCGTTACACTACAGCGTTACCGTACAGCATTACCGTACAGCGTTTCACTACAGCGTTACACTACAGCGTTACACTACAGCGTTACCGTACAGCGTTACACTACAGCGTTACACTACAGCGTTACCGTACAGCGTTACACTACAGCGTCACCGTACAGCGTTACACTACAGCGTTACACTACAGCGTTACCATACAGCGTTACCGTACAGCGTTTCTCTACAGCGTTACACTACAGCGTTACCGTACAACGTTACACTATAGCGTTACCGTATAGCGTTACCGTATAGCGTTACACTACAGCGTTACACTACAGCGTTACACTACAGCGTTACCGTACAGCGTTACACTACAGCGTTACCGCTATTGACCCAAACAGCACAATTCTGGTAAATCCCCTGGAAATTACTCAGTGGGGTCTGCTCACGGCAGCAGCAGTAGTAGTAACAGTAGCAACATTAGCAGCAGCAGTAGTAGTAGGAGCAGTAGTAGTAGCAGCAGTAGTGGCAGCAGTAGTAGTATCAGTAGTAGCAGTAGTAGTAGGAGGAGCAGTAGCAGCAGTAGTGGTATCAGTAGTAGCAGCATCAGCAGCAGTAGTAGTAGCAGCAGTAGTAGCAGAAGTAGCAGCATTCGCAGCAGTAGTAGCAGCAGTAGTAGTAGCAGCAGTAGCAGCATAAGCAGCAGCAGTAGCAGCTGTAGCAGCAGTAGTAATAGTAGCAGCAGTAGTAGCAGCAGCAACAGTAGCAGCAGTAGTAGCAGCATTAGCAGCAGTAGTAGCAGCAGTAGTAGCAGTAGTGGCAGCAGTAGCAGCAACAGTGGCAGTAGTAGCAGCAGTAGTAGCAGTAGTAGCAGTAGTGGCAGCAGTAGCAGCAGTAGCAGCAGTAGCAGTAGTAGCAGTCGTAGTAGCAGCAGTAGCAGCATAAGCAGCAGCAGTAGCAGCAGTAGCAGCAGTAGCATTATTAGCAGTAGCAGCAGTAGTAGCAGCAGTCGTAGTAGCAGCAGTAACAGCAGCATAAGCAGCAGCAGTAACAGCAGCATAAGCAGCAGCAGTAGCAGCAGCATAAGCAGTAGCAGCAGTAGTAATAGTAGCAGTAGTAGGAGCAGCAGTTTCAGCATCACCCCCCAACTGTGAAAACGAGACTCACGGAGACTCGGTGAGGCCTTCCTGGGTAAATAAGTGGAACAACACTCACAACAACAACAACGCTAACAACAAAAACGCTCACAACAACGCTAACAACAACCCTCACAAAAACAACAACGCTAACAACAATAACCATAATAACATCGCTAGCAATAACGCTCACAATAACAACAATTCTCACAACGATACAACAATGTTCTTTGGTTCTTTCGGTAAAGTCACGTAGAATGAGAATAAAATAATAAATTGATAAAATAAAATAACACAATAATATTCTCACTATCGTGAGAATATTATTGTGTTATTATTGTGTTATTTTATTTGATCAATTTATTATTTTATTCTCATTCTACGTGACTTTACCGAAAGAACCAAAGAAGATGAATCATTAAAGTCACGAAAGCTTTCAATCGAGATACAACAATGCTCATAACAACAAAGCTCACGACAACAATGCTCACAATCACAACAACAATGCTCACAATCACAACAACAATACTCACAACAACCATAAAAACGCTCGCAACAACAACGCTCACAATCACAACGCTAACAGCAACACTCACAACAACAACAGCAGCAGCAACACTCACTCACCTTAGGGGCGTGCTCCAGATACTGTTTCCCGCAGGAAATCTGGGTCAGCATACGGAACCGGTTGTCTTGTAGCACGTACACGCCCTGCCACACACGGACACGCACACAGACAGACGAAGATCCCCCATGTAGCCTCAACAGACTGTTGGGACAAGTGCTGTGAGCGAGGAGCACCAACGAAGGCCGGAACGGCACACGGGGGGGTGGGTGGCCAGCACCACGCCCGACCGCCTTTGTCTCCCCGGTGGCGATGTTTTTACACACCGCACCAAGTTACTCATTTGACACGGGGACATACACGGACAAACGCGGAGACACACACAGACAGACACGCAGGGACACGCGCGGACACAGACGGACACACACATATACGCACGGACACACGTACACACGGGGCCACATAGGGACAAGCACGGACACACAAGGACAAACACAACAACAACAACCGCCATTCGCCACTAAGTGGCGGTGACGTCACCACGACGCTTGTGCCAGGCCATGTGCACCTTGAGGCCACGTGAAGTGTCGAACGCCTGCTGGCAGGTCACGGGGCAGACCCAGGTACCACGGGTCGACTGAGATGACGGAGATGACTGGCTGATGCACCACCTGTGCCCCCTACTGTGCCAACTTGCTGTGCTTTAGCCACCCGGTGCTCCGCTCGTTGTTGTGAACTGCCCAGTACCGTCCTTCACGAGCCTGCTCCACAGAGGCCGATCTTGACACCGCTGGTACCAGTAATCGGCAAGTCCACTCAGCTCCACATCCTCCTGTACCACATCACTCCATCTCTTCTCTAGCCTGAGCCGCGCCAGTTTAGCCCCCTCGATCCGGCCGAACCAAAGCTATTTGGGCATGCGGTGATTGGACATGCGGGCTGGATTGTGAGCTCCTCACACAATCCAGCCTGGTTAAACCCAGGATTGATCGTAGGCAGGCCAGCCTAAATGTTTCTAACCGGCGGAGATGTTACATTAGGGGGGTCCACATTTCGCAAGTGTAGAGAAGGGAAGGAATGACTGTGGCCGAGAAGACCTGAAGCTTCGTGCGGAGCGACAAACCAGGTAGCTTCCACACAGCATTACGCAACCGATGGAAAGATATTGCCGCTCGACTGATTCGGAGTGAGACCTCTGCTGTTAAACCAAAGCCGGTCATGAGCACACTGCCCAGGTATGGGAAACTCTCCACTCTCTCTACAACTGCCCCATCACCGATTGGGAGTTGTGGGGGTGGAGTGCCCGATGGTACAAAATACCCAGGCAGGTGCTTAGTTTTGGTGGGGCTGATGGTAAGGCCCCACCTCTTAGTGGCACACTCCAGTTTCAGCAGCAGCGCCTGCAACTCCTACTCTGAATGAGCAGCTATTACCAGGTCGTCGGCATACATAACGTGGTTGACCAATAGGGAGCCATCCCTTTACTACACCCGGGCATCGATCAGCCTCCCATTATATCTGTACCATATGGAAATTCCTACGGTACAGCTATTGAAGGCTTCACGAACTACGTGGTCAAAATAGATGTTAAATAATGTGGGAGCCAGAGGACATCCCTGTCGCACCCCAAGGTGTATAGGGAATGACTGACTCCCGGCCACGTAGTTTTACCCGAGCCCGCTCTCCATCATGAAGGTCCTTAATGAGCGTGAGCAGAGGGTCAGGGACTCTGAAAGCACGAAGAACAACCCAGAGCCCAGGCCTACTGATGGTATCATAGGCCTTGACCAGGTCAATAAAGCGGAGATGTACAGTGAGGGAAAAAAGTATTTGATCCCTTGCTGATTTTGTACATTTGCCCACTGACAAAGAAATGATCAGTCTATAATTTTAATGGTAGGTTTTTTTGAACAGTGAGAGACATAATAACAACAAAATCCAGAAAAACGCATGTCAAAAATGTTATAAATTGATTTGCATTTTAATTAGGGAAATAAGTATTTGACCCCCTCTCAATCAGAAAGATTTCTGGCTCCCAGGTGTCTTTTATACAGGTAACGAGCTGAGATTAGGAGCACACTCCTAAAGGGAGTAAGTTTGCCAATGAATATCTGAATGATTCAGAGGACAACTCGGTGAAAGTGTTGTGGTCAGATGACACCAAAATGGAGCTCTTTGGCATCAACTCAACTCGCCGTGTTTTGACCCCAAGAACACCATCCCCACCGTCAAACATGGAGGTGGAAACATGCTTTGGGGGTGTTTTTCTGCTAAGGGGACAGGACAACTTCACCGCATCAAAGGGACGATGGACGGGGCCATGCACCGTCAAATCTTGGGTGAGAACCTCCTTCCCTCAGCCAGGGCATTGAAAATGGGTCGTGGATGAGTATTCCAGCATGACAATGACCCAAAACACACGGCCAAGGCAACAAAGGAGTGGCTCAAGAAGAAGCACATTAAGGTCCTGGAGTGGCCTAGCCAGTCTCCAGACCTTAATCCCATAGAAAATCTGTGGAGGGAGCTGAAGGTTCGAGTTGCCAAACGTCAGCCTCGAAACCTTAATGACTTGGAGAAGATCTGCAAAGAGGAGTGGGACAAAATTCCTCCTGAGATGTGTGCAAACCTGGTGGCCAACTACAAGAAACGTCTGACCTCTGTGATTGCCAACAAGGGTTTTGCCACCAAGTACTAAGTCATGTTTTGCAGAGGCGTCAAATACTTATTTCCCTATATAAAATGCAAATCAATTTATAACAATTTTTGACATGCGTTTTTCTGGATTTTGTTGTTGTTATTCTGTCTCTCACTGTTCAAATAAACCTACCATTAAAATTATAGACTGATCATGTCTTTGTCAGTGGGCAAAAGTACAAAATCAGCAGGAGATCAAATACTTTTTTCCCTCACTGTAGATCTTGTTGGAATTCCCTACACCTCTGCTGTAGCAGACGGACAGAAAATATGGCATCTGTGCAGGACCGCCCTTTCCTGAAACCGCATTGGGGCTCCGCAAGCCTCTCCTCAGCGTGCCTGGCAAGGCGATGTTAAATAATCCTTGCCAGGACCTTTCCCGGCACACTGAGGAGTGAGATGCCCCAGTAGTTGTTACAGTCTGTGCGGTCCCCCTTCTTAAAGAGGGGGACAACCAGGGCATCCTTCCAATCCCGCGGAACCCGTCCAGTGGCCCAGACTGTTGTTATGATGTCATGTAGGGCAGTCTGCGCACAAACACCACCCTCCCAAGCACAGACACTCACAGGCAAACAGGGAATCACGGACAGACCCACACAGAGACACGTACACACAAACAAAACAATAATGCCGCTGTAATAGCAACCATGCTAGATCATCTGGGATTAAGTAGAACACACAAAGACAAAGATCCCCCATATAGCCTTAACAGACTGTAGGGGCAAGTGCTGTTAGCGAGCACCTATGAAGGCCGGAACAGTACACGAGGGGGTGGGTGGCCAGCACCACGCCCGACCGCCTTTGTCTCCCCAGTGGCGATGTTTACACACCGCACCAGGTACTCATTTCAGGCTGAGTCGACCTAGGGGAGGCCCGGGACCGGTTCAGATAATCGTCACTGATGTTGGCCGTGAGCGGGAATCGAACCCGGGTCGCCAGGTTCATAGCGCAGCGCGCTAACCGCTACACTATCGCTCCCCTTTCACACACACTCTCTCACACACTCACACTCTCTACACACACACACTCTCACACTCACTCACTCACACACACTCTCTCACACACACACTCTCTCACACACGCTCTCACACACACTACACACACTACACACACACACGCTCTCACACACACTACACACACTACACACACTCTCACACACACACTCTCACACACTCTCTCACACACACACTCTCTCACACACACACTCTCTCACACACACTACACACACACACTCTCACACACACTACACACACTCTCACACACACTACACACACACACTATCTCACACACACTCTCACACACACACTCTCTCTACACACACACACGCGCGCGAGTGCCCGCCCACCCTCCCTCCGTCTCACACACACACACGCAGACAAAACAATAACAACCACTGTAACAACAGCCACGGCTAGATCAGCTGGGATTAATGCGAGAGACCTCTGCAGCACCGCCCGAGCAGAATTGGATCGCGGCAGAAAAACTCATTACTTCTGCGAATATCACAAATTTTTATATTATTATTACTTTTTAATGATGCCCAGAATTATTGAATGAGAAAGGTGGGTGGGTGGGTGGGTGGTGGGGATTATGATTGCTGTGGTATTTTTCAATATTTGCACGCCGTCCGACGGGACTAACCCTAATCCACCCTGTAACGGCCCAGCCTCGGCGACCTTTTTTTCGCCATGGATTTTGGAAGGTGACGCTAGGAGAGAGAGAGAGGGCGGGCGGCCGCAACGCGGCTAAAGGTGCAGCTCCCGCAACTGCCCGCCCGACTGACCGCCAGGTGGGTAGGTACACACTGGCACGGTGGGGGAGGGCGGCTGCTAGCGGTAGTGTAGTGGCGGTGAGCGCAGCGAACCCGGCCACACGAGTTCGAATCCCGCTTCGCGGCCACCAAACGCCGGTGACGATTATTTATCCGAGCCGGTCCTGAGCCTCCCCTAGGTCGACTCGGCCACAAATGAGTAAGCTGGTGCGGCGTGTAGTAAACATCGCCACGAGAGAGACAAAGGCGGCCCGGGAGTGGTGCTGGCCACCCACCCCCTCGTTGTGCCGTGCCGGCCTTCATAGATGCTCGCCAACAGCACTTGCCCCTACAGTCTGTCGCAGGCTATACGGGCGATCTTTTGATATTTGTGTGTAAGTGGGAAGCGGTGGTGTAGCAGTTAGCGCGCTGCGCTATGAACCTGGCGACCCGACTTTGATTTCCGCTCAAGGCCAACACCGCTGACGATTATCCCAACGGGTCCTGGGCCTCCCCTAGGTCGACTCGGCCTCAAATGTGTTACCTGGTGCGTAAAAACATCGCCACTGGGGGAGACAAAGGCGGCCCGGGCGAGGTGCTGGCCACCCACCCCCTCGTGCGCCGTGCCGGCCTTCACAGGTGCTGCTCGCTAACAGCACTTGCCCCAACAGTCTGTGAAGGCTACACACGGGGGATCATTGGTGCATCTGCCAGTCGTCTCAGTCGGTCAACACCCATGGCACATGCTGGGGTCTGTCCCGTGGACCTCCTCCTGCGAGCAGCGAGCCTTCGACGCTTCGCGTGGCCTCAAAGTGCACCTAGCCTGGCACAGGCGCTCCGCGGGTGACGTCTGAGAGTGGCGAATGGCGGGCGCTGGTGTTGAACTTCTATCGCGCCGTACGTAGCCAGCCGCGCTAAACAGAGGCGCGGGGGAATTGCTCACTGCTGGTGTTAGGGTCTTAAAGTCGCGTTACATAATTAGTCAGAGAGAGCGCTTGAGCAGCTCAAGAGTGAGCGTGACAGAGAGCACACGCGGTGAGGGTGGGGGTCACGGAAGGGGCTACGGGGGAGGGACGGGACGGAGTGGAGGGGCGAGGGAAGGGGATGGGCGATGGAGGAGAGGCGGTGAGGCTTAGGGAGAGGAACGGAAGGAGGTTAAGGAGGGGGCTGTTTCATGTGTGGAGGCAGCGTTGGGTCTATGGGCAGTGTTGAGTCTATGGGCAGTGTTGAGTCTATGGACAGTGTTGAGTCTATGGGCAGTGTTGAGTCTATGGGCAGTATTGGGTCTATGGGCAGTGTTGGGTCTATGGGCAGTGTTGGGTCTATGGGCAGTGTTGGGTCTATGGGCAGTGTTGGGTCTATGGGCAGTGTTGAGTCTATGGGCAGTGTTGGGTCTATGGGCAGTGTTGGGTCTATGGGCAGTGTTGAGTCTATGGGCAGCGTTGAGTCTCTGGGCAGCGTTGGGTCTATGGACAGTGTTGAGTCTATGGGCAGTGTTGAGTCTATGGGCAGTGTTGAGTCTATGGGCAGTGTTGAGTCTATGGGCAGTGTTGGGTCTATGGGCAGTGTTGAGTCTATGGGCAGTGTTGAGTCTATGGGCAGTGTTGGGTCTATGGGCTGTGTTGAGTTTATGAGCAGTGTGATTCTATGAGCAGTGTTGAGTCTATGGGCAGAGTTGAGTCTATGGGCAGTGTTGGGTCTATGGGCTGTGTTGAGTTTATGAACAGTGTGATTCTATGAGCAGTGTTGAGTCTATGGGCAGTGTTGAGTCTATGGGCAGTGTTGAGTCTATGGGCAGTGTTGGGTCTATGGGCTGTGTTGAGTTTATGAGCAGTGTGATTCTATGGGCAGTGTTGAGTCTATGGGCAGTGTTGGGTCTATGGGCAGAGTTGAGTCTATGGGCAGTGTTGGGTCTATGGGGAGTGTTGGGTCTATGGGCAGTGCTGAGTCTATGGGCAGCGTTGAGTTTATGGGCAGTGTTGGGTCTATGGACACACACACACGCACGTTAAACTTCTTTCGCACTGTACGTAAAAGCCAACCGCGCTATTTCACACGGCAGCACCAATCACCTCCCCTCGGTGAGGCTTTCCGTGCGTAAGCAAGTGCAGCGATAATAATTACGAAGAAAAAGGTCCCCCATGTAGCCTCAGACTGTTGGGGCAAGTGCTGTTAGCGAGCAGCACCTACGAAGGCCGGCAAGGCACGCGAAGGGAGTGGGTGGCCAGCACCACGCCTGGCCGTCTTTGTCTCCCCAGTGGCGACGTGTACACGTCCCACCAGGCCCGGTTCACATAATCATCACTGGCGTTGGCCGTGAGCGGGAATCAAACTCGGGTCACCGGGTTCATAGCGCAGCGCGCCAACCACCACACAGGACACCAACAGTGCCACTCATTTTAACAAGTGATGGAGCGTCATCGGAACGGAACCGTGAGAGAAAAAAAAAACGTCCAAATACTTTTATCGGTACCGAGGCTCCCGCAAGGCCACGCAGGAGGACGAGAGGCACAGTGTTGGTGCCGGCTATGGTAGAGCAGTAGCTGTCGAGTCGCCACGGTTCTCTGCGGTGAGCAGATCGTCGTCATCGTCGTCGTCATCGTCGTCATCGTCGTCATCGTCGTCATCGTCGTAGTCATCATCGTCGTCATCGTCAAACTCCACGGGTAGAAATCCTGCAAGCGTCCACTGCAAAGTTACAATGGCGAGCACAACGTCTTGATAAATGAACGGCGCTACTACCGCCGAGCCGCTCCAAATAAAATTAACGGTGAACCCCGCTCGCGCGTTCCGAGATTCGGCGGCGAACGGGACCATCCCAGCCTGCAACTTGCCGGAAAGCGGGAAAGGGTTGCGATAATGCAGCGAGGTGGCAGAATAGCGGGGAGGGGGGCACAGGTGGTGCATCGGCAAGTGATCTCAAGTCCGTCAACCCATGGCACCTGGCTCTGCCCCCCGTGACCTCCTGCTACCCAGCAGCGAGAGCCTTCCACACTTCACGCGACGGGCCTCCGGGTGCACCTAGCCTGGCGCAGGTGGCGCGGTATGTGTGTGTGTACGCACGCATGTTGAATTTCTTTCGCACCGTACGTAGCAGCCAAGCGTGCCGATCGCAGGCGCGGGAGGAAGGACAGCAAACTTAAACGCACGAAGCAGTTCCACAGAAAAGAGTTCTCATTTTGGTACTGTGTGGCGCATAAGGAGTGTGGTGTGTGGCGTAGTGTATAGTGCATTGCAATGCAGCGTGTCGTGTGCACTGCAGTCTATAATGTAGTGTATGTATGTTGAACTCCTTTCGCACCGGAGGTAGCGAACCGCGCTAATCGGAGGTGCGGTGGAGGGGAAGGTCAACAAACATCAACAACATCAACAACATCAACAACAACGCAGCTCGAGAGAAAGGCGTCTGTCAACGTAGGCGACACTTTCAAAGTGCACAGCTCCACCGTGCACGTGGGGACACCTGGTGGTTTGTCCGCAAGTTGTCGATCTGCTTCTTGAAGACGCTCGTCCAGAAGTCCTTGCAGATGAACTTCATCACGTCGAGCTCGTCCTTGAAGCGGGGGCTGTCGCGGGTAAACCTGACGCAAAGGCAAAATTCCCCCCCCCCCCCCCCACACCCCCGTGTAGCCTTAACAGACTGTTGGGGCAAGGGCGGTTAGCGAGCGGCATGGACGCACGCACGCACTGACACGCACAGGGACACGTACGCACACGGAGAAATAATCCCGCTGTAACAACAGCCACGCTAGATCAGCTGGGATTAAGTCTGACACAGACGCACACACTTACTCGCACAAAGACAAAGATCACCCCCGTGTAGCCTTCACAGACTTGTAGGGGCAAGTGCTGTTAAGCGAACAGCACCTACGAAGGCCGGCACGGCACACGAGTGGGTGGGTGGCCAGCACCGCGCCAGGGCCGCCTTTGTCTCCCCAGCGGTGATGCTTAAAAAAACCGAACTAGGTCGCTCACTTGAGGTTGAGCCGACCTAGGGGAGGCTCAGGACCGGTTGAGATAATCGTCACCGGTGTCGGTTCCGTGAGCGGGAATCGAACTGGGGTCGCCGGGATCGTAGCGCGGCGCAGCGCTAACCGCTGCGCCACCACTCCCCCCACTCACACACACGCAGGGCGGCTGTGCGAGTCGCAGGCTGAACGCCGACTCCACACACAGGGGGCGTGTGCACGGCCCCCTGCAACAAGCAAGGCCGGCTACAAGCTTTGAGGGCCGCAGCCCCAGTCCGGTGATGGCCGGCACGCGAGGGCCTCGCTCGGATTCATGGGGAGCGCCGTAGCAGCTCGTGGCGCTGCCACGAACTTCTGAGCGTGGTAACGAACACCAACCAGAGTGATCTGGGCGGCGAGGTCAGCAGCAGGCGACCGATGAGCGAGTGGGTGAGCGTGACAGAGAGCACACGCGGTGGGGGTGGGGGTCACGGAAGGGGCTACGGGGGAGGGACGGGACGGAGTGGAGGGGCGAGGGGGAGGGGGAGGGGATGGGTCGATGGAGGAGAGGCGGTGAGGCTTAGGGAGAGGAACGGAAAGGAGGTTAAGGAGGGGGCTGTTTCATGTGTGCAGGCAGCGCTGGGTCTATGGGCAGTGTTGGGTCTATGGGCAGTGTTGGGTCTATGGGGCAGTGTTGGGTCTATGGGGAGTGTTGAGTCTATGGGGAGTGTTGAGTCTATGGGCAGTGTTGGGTCTATGGGCAGTGTTGGGTCTATGGGTAGTGTTGAGTCTATGGGCAGTGCTGAGTCTATGGGCAGTGTTGAGTCTATGGGCAGTGTTGAGTCTATGGGCAGTGTTGAGTCTATGGGTAGTGTTGAGTCTATGGGCAGTGCCGAGTCTATGCGTAGTGTTGAGTCTATGGGCAGTGCTGAGTCTATGGGCAGTGTTGAGTCTATGGGCAGTGTTGAGTCTATGGGCAGTGTTGAGTCTATGGGTAGTGTTGAGTCTATGGGCAGTGCTGAGTCTATGGGCAGTGTTGAGTCTATGGGCAGTGTTGAGTCTATGGGCAGTGTTGGGTCTATGGGCAGTGCCGAGTCTATGGGCAGTGTTGGGTCTATGGGCAGTGTTGGGTCTATGGGCAGTGTTGGGTCTATGGGCAGTGTTGGGTCTATGGGCAGTGTTGGGTCTATGGGCAGTGCCGAGTCTATGGGCAGTGCCGGGTCTATGGTGCAGTGCTGAGTCTATGGGCAGTGTTGAGTCTATGGGGAGTGTTGAGTCTATGGGCAGTGTTTGGTCTATGAGCAGTGTTGAGTCTATGGGGAGTGTTGAGTCTATGGTGCAGTGCTGAGTCTATGGGCAGTGTTGAGTCTATGGGCAGTGTTGAGTATATGGGCAGTGTTGAGTCTATGGGCAGTGTTGAGTCTATGGGCAGTGTTGAGTCTATGGGCAGTGTTGAGTCTATGGGGAGTGTTGAGTCTATGGGCAGTGTTGAGTCTATGGGCAGAGTTGGGTCTATGGGCAGTGTTGAGTCTATGGGCAGTGTTGAGTCTATAGGCAGTGTTGAGTCTATGGGGAGTGTTGAGTCTATGGGCAGTGTTGGGTCTATGGGCAGTGTTGGGTCTATGGGCAGTGCTGAGGCTATGGGCAGTGCTGAGTCTATGGGAAGTGTTGAGTTTATGGGCAGTGCTGAGTCTATGGGCAGTGTTGAGTCTATGGGCAGTGCTGAGTCTATGGGCAGTGTTTAGTTTATGGGCAGTGCTGAGTCTATGGGCAGTGTTGAGTTTATGGGCAGTGCTGAGTCTATGGGCAGTGTTGAGTCTATGGGCAGTGCTGAGTCTATGGGCAGTGTTTAGTTTATGGGCAGTGCTGAGTCTATGGGAAGTGTTGAGTCTATGGGCAGTGTTGAGTCTATGGGCAGTGCTGAGTCTATGGGCAGTGTTGAGTCTATGGGCAGTGTTGAGTCTATGGGCAGTGCTGAGTCTATGGGGAGTGTTGAGTCTATGGTGCAGTGTTGAGTCTATGGGGCAGTGTTGAGTCTATGGGCAGTGTTGAGTCTATGGGCAGTGCTGAGTCTATGGGCAGTGTTGAGTCTATGGGCAGTGTTGAGTCTATGGGCAGTGTTGAGTCTTTGGGGAGTGTTGAGTCTATGGGCAGTGTTGAGTCTTTGGGGAGTGTTGAGTCTATGGGCAGTGTTGAGTCTATGGGGCAGTGTTGAGTCTATGGGTAGTGCTGAGTCTATGGGCAGTGTTGAGTCTATGGGCAGTGTTGAGTCTATGGTGCAGTGCTGAGTCTATGGGCAGTGTTGAGTCTATGGGCAGTGTTGAGTCCATGGGCAGTGCTGAGTCTATGGGCAGTGTTGAGTATATGGGCAGTGCTGAGTCTATGGGTAGTGTTTAGTTTATGGGCAGTGTTGAGTCTATGGGCAGTGTTGAGTCTATAGGCAGTGTTGAGTCTATGGGGAGTGTTGAGTCTATGGGCAGTGTTGGGTCTATGGGCAGTGTTGGGTCTATGGGCAGTGCTGAGGCTATGGGCAGTGCTGAGTCTATGGGCAGTGTTTAGTTTATGGGCAGTGCTGAGTCTATGGGAAGTGTTGAGTTTATGGGCAGTGCTGAGTCTATGGGCAGTGTTGAGTCTATGGGCAGTGCTGAGTCTATGGGCAGTGTTTAGTTTATGGGCAGTGCTGAGTCTATGGGCAGTGTTGAGTTTATGGGCAGTGCTGAGTCTATGGGCAGTGTTGAGTCTATGGGCAGTGCTGAGTCTATGGGCAGTGTTTAGTTTATGGGCAGTGCTGAGTCTATGGGAAGTGTTGAGTCTATGGGCAGTGTTGAGTCTATGGGCAGTGCTGAGTCTATGGGCAGTGTTGAGTCTATGGGCAGTGTTGAGTCTATGGGCAGTGCTGAGTCTATGGGGAGTGTTGAGTCTATGGTGCAGTGTTGAGTCTATGGGGCAGTGTTGAGTCTATGGGCAGTGTTGATCTATGGGCAGTGCTGAGTCTATGGGCAGTGTTGAGTCTATGGGCAGTGTTGAGTCTATGGGCAGTGTTGAGTCTTTGGGGAGTGTTGAGTCTATGGGCAGTGTTGAGTCTTTGGGGAGTGTTGAGTCTATGGGCAGTGTTGAGTCTATGGGGCAGTGTTGAGTCTATGGGTAGTGCTGAGTCTATGGGCAGTGTTGAGTCTATGGGCAGTGTTGAGTCTATGGGGCAGTGCTGAGTCTATGGGCAGTGTTGAGTCTATGGGCAGTGTTGAGTCCATGGGCAGTGCTGAATCTATGGGCAGTGTTGAGTATATGGGCAGTGCTGAGTCTATGGGTAGTGTTTAGTTTATGGGCAGTGTTGAGTCTATGGGCAGTGTTGAGTCTATGGGCAGTGATTTGGCAGTTTACCCAGGACTAGTCCATCTATATTCTGAAAAGAGGAGGGGGGAGACGAAATTTTTTATAATGTATGCTGTCTGAAAGCCACTGTAAGCGTGAACAATCAATTAAGACCTGAAATGGTTTATCAAATCTTTCCAATGATTGCTAAGATAGAATCCATCTTCTCGGTTGAAATTGTCTCTGTGCTTGTATATGTGGATAGCCTCATGAACGAATCTCTCATGGAAGCCACATGGCTTACAAAGAACCTCTGTCTTGGAAAAGTCAATGGCATGTGAGCCTACTGAATTAGAACAATGATCTGCCACGGCCGAGGTGTTGGTCCTACCGTGTTTAAGGTCTGCTTTGTGTTCACGAATGCGGTCCGAGACATGGCGTTTGGTTTCTCCAATGTAACTACTACCACAGAGGCAACTTAGTTTGTAGACACCAGGGTATTGTATGTCCGGAATCACATCTTTTACAGACGGAACCAGATCACGGATTTTATGTAATGTAATATATATTTTATTATTTTGTTGTTTCTCTTCAACGTGATTTTACCGAAAAAACTAAGAATATGAATTACTGCAGTCACGAAAGCTTTAAATCAAAATTCTATGGGCAGTGTTGAGTCTATGGGCAGTGTTGAGTCTATGGGCAGTGTTGAGTCTATGGGCAGTGTTGAGTCTATGGGCAGTGTTGAGTCTATGGGCAGTGTTGAGTCTATGGGCAGTGTTGAGTCTATGGGCAGTGTTGAGTCTATGGGCAGTGTTGAGTCTATGGGCAGTGTTGAGTCTATGGGGAGTGTTGGGTCTATGGGCAGTGTTGAGTCTATGGGCAGTGTTGAGTCTATGGGGAGTGTTGGGTCTATGGGCAGTGTTGAGTCTATGGGCAGTGTTGAGTCTATGGGGAGTGTTGAGTCGATGGGAAATTGTCCATTTTGTGAGGTTATCTCTAACTAGCTGCCAGGATATGCAAGCGAATAAAAAACAAAAATCAGCGGACGCTCTGCTACATGTGACGTGATAAGTTCACACTCACTGGTTACTCTTGCAAACCAACATTGTTTACAATCAATGTGTTTGGGAAGATATTTTATATCGTTCTAGGTTACCGTATTGATTCACATTTTACCGTAGTTATTTTATATCGGCAGATTGATACAACGTGATCATTCTAACGTATACGACATCATTTCACGCAGTTATAAATCAGCTCGAGTACCCCTCTGGGACATTCCAACATAACCTTCCCCAGGGTCGCGTGTACCCCGAGGTTGAGAACCACTCTCGTGCATGCCTGTGAGACTCTGTGAGTGTGGGTGTGTCGGAGGAGGGAGGGGAGGAGATTGAGGGACAGGGAGGGAGGGACATGGAGGGACGGATGGAGGGAGTGGAGTGGGGGGAGGGAGGGAGGGAGGGGAGGGAGGGGAGGGAGGGGAGGGAGGGAGGGAGGGGAGGGAGGGAGGGAGGGGAGGGAGGGAGGGTGGGAGGGAGGGAGGGAGGGAGGGTGGGAGGGAGGGAGGGAGGGAGGGTGGGAGGGAGGGAGGGTGGGAGGGAGGGAGGGGAGTGAGGGAGGGTGGGAAGGGAGGGAGGGAGGGAGGGTGGGAGGGGAGGGAGGGGTGGATGGGGGGGGAGGGAGGGAGGGGAGGGGAGAGGGGGAGGGGAGGGGATGGGAGGGAGGGAGGGAGGGAGGGAGGGTGGGAGGGAGGCAGGGAGGGAGGGAGGGGAGTGGAGGGAGGGAGGGAGGGAGGGAGGGAGGGAGGGGAGGGAAGGAGGGGAGGGAGGGAGGGGAGGGGGGGAGGGAGGGGAGGGGAGGGATGGATGGGGGGGGGGGAGGGGAGGGAGGGATGGATGGGGGGAGGGGAGGGAGGGGAGGGGAGGGAGGGAGGGAGGGAGGGAGGGAGGGGAGGGAGGGAGGGGAGGGAGGGAGGGGAGGGAGGGGAGGGAGGGAGGGAGGGAGGAGAGGGAGGGAGGGAGGGAGGGAGGGAGGGGAGGGAGGGAGGGAGGGAGGGAGGGAGGGAGGGAGGGAGGGAGGGAGGGAGGGGAGGGAGGGAGGGAGGGAGGGAGGAGAGGGGAGGGAGGGAGGGGAGGGAGGGGTGGATGGGGGGGAGGGAGGGAGGGGAGGGGAGAGGGGGAGGGGAGGGGATGGATGGGAGGGAGGGAAGGAGGGAGGGTGGGAGGGAGGCAGGGAGGGAGGGAGGGGAGTGGAGGGAGGGAGGGAGGGAGGGAGGGAGGGAGGGAGGGGAGGGAAGGAGGGGAGGGAGGGAGGGGAGGGGGGGAGGGAGGGGAGGGATGGATGGGGGGGAGGGGAGGGGAGGGAGGGATGGATGGGGGGAGGGAGGGAGGGAGGGGAGGGGAGGGGAGGGGAGGGAGGGAGGGAGGGGATGGAGGGAGGGAGGGAGGGAGGGAGGGAGGGGAGGGAGGGAGGGAGGGAGGGAGGGAGGGGAGGGAGGGAGGGGAGGGGAGGGGAGGGAGGGAGGGGAGGGAGGGAGGGAGGGGAGGGAGGGGAGGGGAGGGGAGGGGAGGGGAGGGAGGGAGGGAGGGAGGGAGGGAGGGAGGGAGGGAGGGGAGGGAGGGGAGGGGGAGGAGGGAGGGGAGGGGAGGGAGGGAGGGGAGGGGAGGGAGGGAGGGAGGGAGGGGAGGGAGGGGAGGGAGGGGAGGGAGGGAGACTCTTGTTGCCATGGCTACACCACGGGAAGGAAAGTGGAGAATCGTCATGGTGGCCGGAGGATGTTAACTCCCTCGCCTGGTCCGCAACCACCACTCTAGACAATGAGAACCACCACTCTAGACAATGAGAACCACCACTCTAGACAATGAGAACCACGCTCTAGACAATGAGAACCACCACTCTAGACAATGAGAACCACCACTCTAGACAATGAGAACCACCACTCTAGACAATGAGAACCACCACTCTAGACAATGAGAACCACCACTCTAGACAATGAGAACCACCACTCTAGACAATGAGAACCACCACTCTAGACAATGAGAACCACGTTCTAGACAATGAGAACCACCACTCTAGACAATGAGAACCACCACTCTAGACAATGAGAACCACCACTCTAGACAATGAGAACCACCACTCTAGACAATGAGAACCACCACTCTAGACAATGAGAACCACCACTCTAGACAATGAGAACCACCGCTCTAGACAATGAGAACCACGCTCTAGACGATGAGAACCACCACTCTAGACAATGAGAACCACCGCTCTAGACAATGAGAACCACCGCTCTAGACAATGAGAACCACGCTCTAGACAATGAGAACCACCACTCTAGACAATGAGAACCACCACTCTAGACAATGAGAACCACCGCTCTAGACAATGAGAACCACGCTCTAGACAATGAGAACCACCGCTCTAGACAATGAGAACCACCACTCTAGACAATGAGAATCACCGCTCTAGACAATGAGAACCACCACTCTAGACAATGAGATCTCTAGACAATGAGAACCACCGCTCTAGACAATGAGAACCACCACTCTAGACAATGAGAACCACCACTGTAGACAATGGGATCTCTAGACAATGGGATCTCTAGACAATGAGATCTCTAGACAATGGGATCTATAGACAATGAGAACTACCACTGTAGACAATGGGATCTCTAGACAATGGGATCTCTGGACAATGAGATCTCTAGACAATGGGATCTCTAGACAATGAGAACCACCACTGTAGACAATGGGATATCTAGACAATGGGATCTCTAGACAATGAGATCTCTAGACAATGGGATCACTAGACAATGAGAACCACCACTCTAGACAATGAGAACCACCACTCTAGACAATGAGAACCACGCTCTAGACAATGAGAACCACCACTCTAGACAATGAGAACCACCACTCCAGACAATGAGAACCACCACTCTAGACAATGAGAACCACCGCTCTAGACAATGAGAACCACCACTCTAGACAATGAGAACCACCACTCTAGACAATGAGAACCACGTTCTAGACAATGAGAACCACCACTCTAGACAATGAGAACCACCACTCTAGACAATGAGAACCACCACTCTAGACAATGAGAACCACCACTCTAGACAATGAGAACCACCGCTCTAGACAATGAGAACCACCACTCTAGACAATGAGAACCACCGCTCTAGACAATGAGAACCACCACTCTAGACAATGAGAACCACGCTCTAGACAATGAGAACCACCACTCTAGACAATGAGAACCACCACTCTAGACAATGAGAACCACCACTCTAGACAATGAGAACCACCGCTCTAGACAATGAGAACCACCACTCTAGACAATGAGAACCACCACTCTAGACAATGAGAACCACCACTCTAGACAATGAGAACCACCGCTCTAGACAATGAGAACCACCACTCTAGACAATGAGAACCACCACTCTAGACAATGAGAACCACCACTCTAGACAATGAGATCTCTAGACAATGAGAACCACCGCTCTAGACAATGAGAACCACCACTCTAGACAATGAGAACCACCACTGTAGACAATGGGATCTCTAGACAATGGGATCTCTAGACAATGAGATCTCTATACAATGGGATCTCTAGACAATGAGAACCACCACTGTAGACAATGGGATCTCTAGACAATGGGATCTCTGGACAATGAGATCTCTAGACAATGGGATCACTAGACAATGAGAACCACCACTCTAGACAATGAGATCTCTAGACAATGAGAACCACCGCTCTAGACAATGAGAACCACCACTCTAGATAATGAGAACCACCACTGTAGACAATGGGATCTCTAGACAATGGGATCTCTAGACAATGAGATCTCTAGACAATGGGATCTCTAGACAATGAGAACCACCACTGTAGACAATGGGATCTCTAGACAATGGGATCTCTGGACAATGAGATCTCTAGACAATGGGATCTCTAGACAATGAGAACCACCACTGTAGACAATGGAATATCTAGACAATGGGATCTCTAGACAATGAGATCTCTAGACAATGGGATCACTAGACAATGAGAACCACCACTCTAGACAATGAGATCTCTAGACAATGAGAACCACCGCTCTAGACAATGAGAACCACCACTCTAGACAATGAGAACCACCACTGTAGACAATGAGAACCACCACTGTAGACAATGGGATCTCTAGACAATGGGATCTCTAGACAATGAGATCTCTAGACAATGGGATCTCTAGACAATGAGAACCACTGCTGTAGACAATGGGATCTCTAGACAATGGGATCTCTGGACAATTAGATCTCTAGACAATGGGATCTCTAGACAATGAGAACCACCACTGTAGACAATGGGATATCTAGACAATGGGATCTCTAGACAATGAGATCTCTAGACAATGGGATCTAGAGACAATGGGAACCACCGCTGTAGACAATGGGATCTCTAGACAATGAGATCTCTAGACAATGATATCTCTAGACAATGAGAACCACCGCTGTAGACAATGGGATCTCTAGACAATGGAATCTCTAGACAATGGGATCTCTAGACAATGAGATCTCTAGACAATGATATCTCTAGACAATGAGAACCACCGCTGTAGACAATGGGATCTCTAGACAATGGAATCTCTAGACAATGGAATCTCTAGACAATGAGATCTCTAGACAATGGGATCTCTATGGGGGGGGGTCTCCCATGGGGGGGGTCTCCCATGGGGGGGGGTCTCCCATGGGGGGGGGTCTCCGATGGGGTCTCCCATGGGGGGGGTCTCCCATGGAGGGGGGGGGTCTCCGATGGGGGGGGGTCTCCCACACCGCCGCCGGCCAACAAAATCTCACGAAGCGCTCCGCCCTCTCACCTCTCCACCAGACCTTGTCCCACTCTGTATCCCAAGTTCTCCAACTTGGCCGTCACTTTCCCATTCTCCTGCAGGGGATCATCGAACCACAATCAGAATCCATTGTATTTGTTCTGCAGGAGGAATCCGCTGAGCTATGAAGGGGAGGCCGAGGTGGGGAGATGTTCACTACCTTGACTGATATTCTTAGCTCTTTCGGTAAAGTCACGTTGAAGGGAAACAATTAAATAATAAAATATATATATTAAACAATAAAAATTCTCACGACGTTTCGACCATAACACAAACGGTCATCATCAGGTGTGATGATGATGGTTGGTTTTTCCGCACCTGATGATGACCGTTTGTGTTATGGTCGAAACGTCGTGAGAATTTTTATTGTTTTATATATATTTTATTGTTTTATTGTTTCCCTTCAACGTGACTTTACCGAAAGAGCTAAGAATATGAATTACTGCAATGCCGAAAGCTTTATACCTTGACTGACATACACGAGGTCATGGGTTCCATCCCGACCCTGATGATGCCTTCTGTATATTTGGAGTTTGCATCATCAGAATCAAAATCAGTGTATTTATACTGCAGTAGGAGGAATCTGATTAGCTATGAAGCTCTTTTTCCACAGATGGGTAGTAAGGGCACGGGGTAAGAATGTTACAACACAAAAACACGATAGCAGTTGCAAAGTACAAGAAAATAAATCACCCAAACATGAACAAATACAACACTAAACCATTCCCATCATAGCAGACAACGCCCACTCAGGTATTCACTTGTTGTTTCAGAAGCGACCTGGCCACAAATGATAGCTCAACGCAGTGGCACCCATCATTTTTAGACATTTGTAGCAGCGACGTAAACGTGGAGGGGGAAAACCGGAGGACCCCGAGGAATAAATCCACGTGACCACGCGGGGAGAGACAGACGCAGACTCCAAATATACAGCAGCAGGTGTCAGGAGCGAACCCACGACCTCCTGTAGACCAGGCGAGGTAGTAAACATCTCACCACCGTGCAAACTCCAAATATACAGCAGGTGTCAGGATCGAACCCAAGACTTCCTGTATACCAGGCGAGGTAGTAAACATCTCACCACCGTGCAAACTCCAAATATACACCAGGCGTCGGGATCGAACCCCCGACTTCCTGAACACCTGGCGAGGTAGTAAACATCTCACCACCGTGCAAACTCCAAATATACACCAGGCGTCGGGATTGAACCCCCGACTTCCTGAATACCTGGCGAGGTAGTAAACATCTCACCACCGTGCAAACTCCAAATATACACCAGGCGTCGGGATCGAACCCCCGACTTCCTGAATACCTGGCGAGGTAGTAAACATCTCACCACCGTGCAAACTCCAAATATACAGCAGCAGACGTCGGGGTCGGGATCGAACCCCCGACCTCCTGTATACCCTGGCACTCCTTTAATAAATACATTAATACAGCATATAAGTTCAAATTGCATCGATTACCAAGCTTCTGAAAGGGCAGTAAAACAACAGCAGCCACAGACCACACCAAGACAAAAACACACGGTAGTCCATCAATGTAAATTGTGCACTAACACTGAGCTCTCAATACACTGCGTTAAGGATCACACTCACGAATCACATTTTGCGAAATGTGGCTGTAGTTATCCGGCACCAATCTTCCGCTTGGAATGGTTTTCGAAGCGGAAGATTCACGATGTCACCGGAGGAAACAAGGCTTGCTGTTGTCGGTGCTGTCGCTGTTTCCAAATCTATGTCGGCGCTGCTGCAGTGGCGAAGGATTTGTGTCGCCCATTCCGATCCTCGTTCTTGGGACGGCTGCAAGGCAAATAGAGCGACGCCCTGGGAGGATTTCTCGGACTTGACAAAGGGGTTCGGAGTGGTAGCGAAGCGCAGATTTGCCAACGAGGATTGCACGGATGAAGAGGGCATCAATGCAGATGGTCTTCTTGCGTCAAGTGATGAGAGATTGGATTTCACGTGACGCACCTCACTTGAATGGGCTGCGTCGGGTGGTGGTGGCTGGCGATTTGTGACGACGCATTTATATTCTTCACCATGGAACCTCCTTTGCCAGCGTCGAAATATAAGAAGAGGTTTGACCCTTTTTTCTGGCAACATAAGAGCTGTGTTGAGATGTTAAAACACCAAACTGAAACCTTTTGCTAGGGATCATGTCTGCATGCACCACAATACTTGTGGTGAAAATACAAACAAAAACAACATGCTCTGACAGTATGGTGCATTGTCCTTGAAACTGATTGGTCCACGCCAGAGACGGCTTTCTTTAGAGCCTAGTCTCACTAACAGCGTTAGACCAGAGGACGCCAAAAGGTGAACAGCACAAAGGCAATGCCACCATCAGGACATTGAGAGCTCGGGGTGTGAGCAGCTACCTCATTGAGACCTCCTTTGCCAGGATCAAAATATAAGAACAGAATAGTGGCATTGTCTTTGTGCTGCTCGCCTTTTGGCGTCCTCTGGTCTAACACTGTTAGTGAGACGGGGCTCCCAAGAAAGCCGTCTCTGGTGTGGACCAATCAGATTCAAAGACAATGCACATACTGTCAGAGCATGTTTTGTGTTTGGATTTCCACCACAAGTACATGTGGTTAATGCACACATGATCCCTTGCAAAAGGTTTCAGTTTGGTGTTTTAACATCTTAACACAGCTCCTGTTTTACTGCCAGAAAAAAAACAGGGGAAAAGCTCTTCTTATATTTATATTCAGGCAAATCTAATCCACGCAAGAAGCACTTCATGATGGATACGCACGGCCGTACACTGGACACGTAGGTAGGCTGGACAACAAGAGGACAGAGAGGAAGACCGAACAGAGTACAGGGGTTGTGTCGCTGTGTCTGGTAGTGTCGCTGTGTCTGGTAGTGTCGCTGTGTCTGGTAGTGTCACTGTGTATGGTAGTGTCGCTGTGTCTGGTAGTGTCACTGTGTCTGGTAGTGTCTGGTAGTGTCACTGTGTCTGGTAGTGTCGCTGTGTCTGGTAGTGTCGCTGTGTCTGGTAGTGTCACTGTGTCTGGTAGTGTCACTGTGTCTGGTAGTGTCTGGTAGTGTCACTGTGTCTGGTAGTGTCACTGTGTCTGGTAGTGTCACTGTCTGGTAGTGTTGCTGTGTCTGGTAGTGTGGCTGTGTCTGGTAGTGTCACTGGTAGTGTCGCTGTGCCTGGTAGTGTGGCTGTGTCAGGTAGTGTCACTGTGTCTGCTAGTGTCACTGTGTCTGGTAGTGTCACTGTGTCTGGTAATGTCTGGTAGTGTCGCTGTGTCTGGTAGTGTGACTGTGTCTGGTAGTGTCGCTGTGTCTGGTAGTGTCACTGTGTCTGGTAGTGTCACTGGTAGTGTCACTGGTAGTGTCACTGTGTCTAGTAGTGTCTGGTAGTGTCACTGGTAGTGTCACTGTCTGGTAGGGTCACTGTCTGGTAATGTCACTGTGTCTGGTAGCGTCTCTGTGTCTGGTAGTGTCACTGTGTCTGGTAGTGTCACTGTGTCTGGTAGTGTCTGGTAGTGTCACTGTGTCTGGTAGTGTCACTGTGTCTGGTAGTGTCACTGTGTCTGGTAGTGTCTCTGTGTCTGGTAGTGTCACTGTGTCTGGTAGTGTCACTGGTAGTGTCACTGGTAGTGTCACTGTGTGTGGTAGTGTCACTGGTAGTGTCACTGTGTGTGGTAGTGTCACTGTCTGGTAGTGTCACTGTGACTGGTAGTGTCACTGGTAGTGTCACTGTGTGTGGTAGTGTCACTGTGTGTGGTAGTGTCACTGGTAGTGTCACTGGTCGTGTCACTGTGTGTGGTAGTGTCACTGTGTGTGGTAGTGTCACTGGTAGTGTCACTGTGTCTGGTAGTAGTGTCACTGGTAGTGTCACTGTGTGTGGTAGTGTCACTGTGACTGGTAGTGTCACTGGTAGTGTCACTGTGTCTGGTAGTAGTGTCACTGGTAGTGTCACTGTGTGTGGTAGTGTCACTGGTAGTGTCACTGTGTGTGGTAGTGTCACTGTGTGTGGTAGTGTCACTGGTAGTGTCACTGTGTGTGGTAGTGTCACTGTGTGTGGTAGTGTTACTGTGTGTGGTAGTGTCACTGTGTGTGGTAGTGTCACTGTGTCTGGTAGTAGTGTCACTGTGTGTGGTAGTGTCACTGTGTGTGGTAGTGTCACTGGTAGTGTCACTGTGTGTGGTAGTGTCACTGTGTGTGGTAGTGTCACTGGTAGTGTCACTGTGTGTGGTAGTGTCACTGTGTGTGGTAGTGTCACTGGTAGTGTCACTGGTAGTGTCACTGTGTCTGGTAGTGTCACTGTGTGTGGAAGTGTCACTGGTAGTGTCACTGTGTCTGGTAGTGTCACTGTGTCTGGTAGTGTCACTGTGTGTGGTAGTGTCACTGGTAGTGTCACCGTGTCTGGTAGTAGTGTCACTGGTAGTGTCACTGGTTGTGTCACTGTGTCTGGTAGTGTCACTGGTAGTGTCACTGGTAGTGTTCCTGTGACTGGTAGTGTCACTGGTAGTGTCACTGTGTGTGGTAGTGTCACTGTGTGTGGTAGTGTCACTGTGTGTGGTAGTGTCACTGGTAGTGTCACTGTGTGTGGTAGTGTCACTGGTAGTGTAACTGGTAGTGTCACTGGTAGTGTCACTGTGTGTGGTAGTGTCACTGGTAGTGTCACTGTGACTGGTAGTGTCACTGTGTGTGGTAGTGTCACTGGTAGTGTCACTGTGTGTGGTAGTGTCACTGGTAGTGTCAGCTCACCGTGTCGTCTTGCTGCACTGAGTGACAGACGTACGAGACGACCTCCATGTGAAGGAACTCGAACAGAGCCTCGTCCCCCATCGCCCTCGACGACGACGCCGATTGTACCTTGCGATGTGAACGAATGCGATGTTACTGTTGTTGTTGTTATGAAGTCGTTTCCACCGTGGGACTAGCCGCGACCAGGCCTCCCGGAAGTGTAGGGGGCGGAGCCGCACGTGACGGTGGGCGGGGTTTAAATTTGCATGTTCATGAGGAGGGCGTGGCCAATGTGAACGAGGCGGACCTTGGTTGGTAAGTGGGCGGAGACTTTCTCACTGGGAGGTTGGCGAGGGGCGGGGCTAGACCGCTAGAGTTTCTGTTTATTTATGTTGGTATAGCCCTGTGAGCCATTCGGCTCTTGAATCTGGTGCAACCACAACAAACAAAAAAAACACGAACAAGAAAATCATCTTAAAGTGACTATGTGTTGACTATGCAAACAGAAAATCCATGGGAAAAAAACACAGCTAAAATATTCCTGAAATAAGCACCGTACACCAACGCTGCGTGCAAAAAATCCCAGTGGGATGCAAGTCAAACAACAACAACCACAATGAAACTTAGATTAAGTCATCAGTCTAACTCCGTAATACAACAAAACAAACATGTCCAAACCAAAAAATAAAGCCATAATTGCAACGTAACAGTGATCACAGGGACTGTGACCGAATTTTTACAATACACTACATAAATAACATGTAACGCCAAAGCTGAAAGGGCGGGGCATTATATTGATGGGCGGGGCTTACGAACATAGAGGCGGGGACCTGAAAGGGTGAGGGCGGGGCCTGATAGCAAGGGTGGGGGCGTGGTCAAATTTAAGGTCGGGGCTTAACTTGAGGGGGCGGGGTCATAGGACTTACGGAAGCCGTCCGTGTCCAAGTTAGAAACCCAATCCTTTTTTCAAAACGCGATTTGGAGAAAATCACTCAAGACGAGCCTCCGCGTCCACGTGGAGAAGACTTTTAGACCGTGTCTCTGTCTGTCTCCCGGTGTCTCTGTCTCCCGGTGCCTCTGTCTGTCTCCCAGTGTCTCCTTTGTCTCGGGAGCCTTTAACATTTAAGTCTATGGGAGGATTTGTTGGTTCGGTCATTCAGCGAGTGTCCATGTTGGTTCGGTCATTTAGCGAGTGGCCATGTTGGTTAGGTCATTTAGCGAGTGGCCATGTTGGTTAGGTCATTTAGCGAGTGGCCATGTTGGTTAGGTCATTTGGCGAGTGGCCATGTTGGTTAGATCATTTAGCGAGTGGCCATGTTGGTTAGATCATTTACCGAGTGGACATATTTGTTAGGTCATTTAGGGAGTGGCCATGTAGGTTAGGTCATTCAGCGAGTGGCTATGACGCCATGTTGGTTAGGTCATTTAGCGAGTGGCCATGTTGGTTAGGTCATTTAGCGAGTGGCCATGTTGGTTCGGTCATTTAACGAGTGGCCATGATGGTTAGGTCATTTAGCGAGTGTCCATGTTGGTTAGGTCATTTAACGAGTGTCCATGTTGGTTAGGTCATTTAATGAGTGGCCATGTTGGTTAGGTCATTTAGCGATTGGCCATGTTGGTTAGGTCATTTAGCGAGTGTCCATGTTGGTTAGGTCATTCAGCGACTAGCCATGTTGGTTAGGTCATTTCGCGAGTGGCCATGTTGGTTAGGTCATTCAGCGACTAGCCATGTTGGTTAGGTCATTTTTGCGAGTGGCCATGTTGGTTAGGTCATTTAGCGAGTGGCCATGTTGGTTAAGTTGTTTAGCGACTGGCCATGTTGGTTAGGTCATTTCGCGAGTGGCCATGTTGGTTAAGTCGTTTAGCGAGTGGCCATGTTGGTTAGGTAATTTAACTGGCGATTCCTCCCTCCCAGGATCCGTGGGTCCATTCCAATTTCCACCACCAGAGGTCGCTGGGGACAACCCCCAGCAACTCGGGGCGGAAAGGTCTTACCCCGAAACGTTGCCTGTAGTACGCGTTATTCTTTTTTTAAAGAGTCATGGGTTAAATTTCGATTTAAAGCTTTCGTGACTGCAAGGATTCATCTTCTTTGGTTCTTTCGGTAAAGTCACGTAGAATGAGAATAAAATAATAAATTGATCAAATAAAATAACACAATAAAATTCTCACGACGTTTCGGCCACAACACAAGCGGCCTTCATCAGGTGAAGAGACGAGACTGTCTGGAGGACAGCGCTGGAGGTCCTCCAGACAGCTTTCCTCCAGACAGTCTCGTCCCTTCACCTGATGAAGGCCGCTTGTGTTGTGGCCGAAACGTAGTGAGAATTTTATTGTGTTATTTTATTTTATCAATTTATTATTTTATTCTCATTCTACGTGACTTTACCGAAAGAACCAAAGAAGAATCATGGGTTATTGACGAGTGTCGAAGTTGATGGTAAAACTTAGTTCGTGCCAACCCGCTTGCCCCAATCATCTGCGCAGCCAATGCACGTGCATTGCAAGCCCAAGCCAATGCGTTGTGGAGTTAGTACACAGTCCTGTTCTCCCATAACGATATCCGTAGTTGATGTCACTTGAAGTTTCACGGTGACCCTTCTGAACCACCAGACGCTGCGCAAGCAAAAGGGGCGATCGATATCACAGGGACTCCTCAACTTACGAACATTCGACTTACGAACTTTCAGAGATACGAACAAAGCCGTCCGTATGTCCAGTTGCAGCTGTTCATGACGCTATTGCCTGTTACGAGTTGATTCATGAATAGAAGAAGAGAGCAATTGTGCAGACAGCTCTTGGTACGTTTTTTTCAAGAGAGAAAACAAGAGCACCAGAGGGAATTAGCATCGACATCTGCGGAACGTGAAGAACCAGTGGCATCTACATCTACAGAACACGAAGAACCAGTGGCATCTACGTCTGCAGAATGTGAAGAAGCAGTGGTATCTACATCTGCAGAACGTGAAGAACCAGTGGCATCTACATCTGCAGAACGTGAAGAACCAGTGGCATCTACGTCTGCAGAACGTGAAGAACCAGTGGCATCTACATCTGCAGAAAGTGAAGAACCAGTGGCATCTACATCTGCAGAACATGAATAACCAGTGGCATCTACGTCTGCAGAACATGAAGAACCAGTGGTATCTACATCTGCAGAACGTGAAGAACCAGTGGCATCTACATCTGCAGAACGTGAAGAACCAGTGGCATTTACATCTGCAGAACATGAAGAACCAATAGCATCTACATCAGCAGATCATTAAGAACCAGTGGTATCTACATCTGCAGAAGACAACTTTTAAAGCCATTCCCCGTGTTTAGTGTACACACGGTACAACAATCGACAGAAATCGACTTACGAACAGACCTCTGGAACCTAACTAGTTCGTAAGTAGAGGAGTCCCTGCATATCCCCCGTATAGCCTTAACAGACTGTTGGGGCAAGTGCTACGAAGGCCGGTACGGCACACGGAGGGGGGGGGGGGGTGTGGCCAGCACCACGCCCGACCGCCTTTGTCTTTCCCAGTGGCGAAATTTACACATCTCACCAGGTACTCACTTGAGGCTGAGTCGACCTAGGGAAGGCCCAGGTTCCCGGGGTCCCCCAATGGGAGACAATGTTGCAACACTGCGAGGCAGAATGAGCGGCAGGTGGATTGGGGGTACAAAGACACACAGACAGAGACAAGTAACCTGACAGCTAAGCAAGGTGAAAATGACGCGAACACAGTCTGGTGTTTGTTGTTGTTGCTCGCCTACAACGCGGTGGTAAGTTGCGCTCCTGAAGAACACCGCGTTATGGAACAATCTCGTTTATAATAAATGAATAACGTATTGTATAATGTAGGGGGCAAGGCGAGTCCCGCGGTAACATGCGAGATGCGTACCAAGGGGCTGAACATCGACCCAGGCGCGTGGTAGGTAACGTCTAGACTCTAGAAGCATTCAGTAGCATCCCAATGCCTCGTGCGATGATGACGACGACGATGACGATTATGATGATGATGATGACGACGATGACGATTATGATGATTTTCGATTTAAAGCTTTCGTGACTGCAAGGATACATCTTCTTTGGTTCTTTTGGTAAGGTCACGTAGAATGAGAATAAAATAATAAAATAACACAATAAAATTCTCACGACGTTTCGGCCACAACGCAAGCTCAGGCTCTGTCGTCCCGACAGGTCTGTACCTTTCACCTGAAGACGGCCGCTTGCGTTGTGGCCGAAACGTCGTGAGAATTTTATTGTGTTATTTTATTATTTTATTCTCATTCTACGTGACCTTACCGAAAGAACCAAAGAAGATTATGATGATGATGATGACGATGATGACGACGATTATGATGACGATGACGATGATGACAATGACGATGATGACGACGACGATGACGACTATGATGACGATGATGATGACGATGACGACGACGATGATGATGATGACAATGACGATGATGACGACGACGATGACGATTATGATGACGATGACGTAGATGACAATGACGACGATGATGATGATGACAATGACGACGATCATGATGACGATGACGTAGATGACAATGCCGACGATGACGATGTTGATGATGCTACGCCGAGGCGACCACACGACCGCTTTAATTCCTCCTGGCGCGCCACGTGGTCCACTCGACCGCGTTATATCCGATTCGCAGCGTTACGTGACAACATGGTGCACCGTGCTCAACCAGGTTCCCCATGTCCAAACAGGGTGGCGGCTCCTTGCCACGAACTAATCGGGCAGTTCCCCAGTGACTTCTTGGGTTCAAGCGAGCCTGACCGCTGATGAGACCCCGAGCGTCGAAGCTTGCCCCGCCGCGTTGCTTGTGTTGAGTCAGCGCTGCTGATGAGAGGCACTCTGAGATGGCTGTGCGGCTGATGGCATGAGGAGGATGAGGAGTAAGAACCCACGCTTGGCAGGGTTCCTGTGGAGAGGCGGCTGCGTGGACGGCTGGCGTCTGCTCAGTTTTGTTCCATGCAGGGCAGCGGCTGCAGTTGTCCGCTTGTCCACGAGAGGGCATCACGTGACTTGTGTAGACCCTAGAGGGTGCACTTCTTTCGCAACCCTAATAACCCTAAGCCCTAAACCCGGATAACCCTAAACCCTCAACCCTAATAACCCTAAACCCTCAACCCTAATAACCCTAAACCCTCAACCCTAATAACCCTAAACCCTCAACCCTATTAACCCTAAACCCTCAGCCCGGATAACCCTAAACCCGCAACCCTAATAACCCTAAG